TCTACAAAAATCCCTTTGAACATATAAAAAGTTTAATATCTACTCACTCTATCAAATTACCCCTGTGAACTTAGCTATCTAGACTTTCCTCCTACATCTCTTTTCTGTCTGAATCAGGGCAGGAGGAAGGTAAGGAATGCGTCTAAACGATAATAACTTTCTTTATTGTCATCATTCTGCGTGATTCACTTCAGGGAAACATCTGACTTCATCGTTAGTGCTCACGCCCTCGGCCTTTTGATGTGCCTGCTCCGTTTGTTCACCAGCGCCAGTGGTCTGTTCTCTCTCATTCAGTTTTCACTTACACACATGGACTGGCCAGGCTGCACCAGCAGCATTGTTTGCATTTCACACTGGAAGGTGAGAGCCATTCCATCTCGTTTGCACATCACGTGTCACAGCCACTGACTGAAGAACTCAGATCTGGTGTGACTTCTCACCTGCTTTTTTCTGGTATTTATTTTAGCCCTGCTTCAATTAAGCAGTTTTTACAAGAACCCACAAAATGAGAATATTTTCTGGATCATGCACCCCAATTAATCGCTCATGCAAGTCACAGTTTTAATGTCAATTTTTGCTACTCTGTGTTAGAGTAGCTTGAGAGGCAGAGAACGGCTTGTTTAAAAAACAGAAGATGCACAAGCTGTTATCTAAAGTTTGTTACTGTAGAAGCTCTTTATTCATATATCACTAATCTGATGGTGATATAGTACCTTTGTCCAACTGTCATTGGAGGAAAGGTGTGGTACATCCAAACTTTGGAGAGTTTTACTCTTAAAACTTTTTTAAGAACCTGCATCCTTTCACTCGGTTTTACAGTTATGCACTACTTTGTGTCAATCTACTGCATTAACTTACAATAAAAAAAAAAAGCATGGATTGTTGTCGGGGTCTTTTTGCAACCGCTTCAGTAACATTGCAAAAAAAATGTAAGAGTTGTTTTCTTAAATACATCACAATACATATTGTTTGAAACAGAATATGAGAGCATTTTTAGAAATTCACACAGAGTTATAATATTTCTTGTGGAAAGGGTTCTGTTTAGGGGATTAGGCTGCAATTGTTTCTGCTCCACCAAACAGGAAAACTAAAAGCTATCAGGAAAAGGGATATTAACTGGGCTTGGACAATGTGAATAAGGGAAGAGATAGATTTATTTTTTATCCAAGACTGATGCAAAACTACTGGTGATCAAACTGTAAATTGGTTCCATGATGTACACTATATTTTCATCAACAGGTTAAATGATGACATATCAGACAGTTGTGTTGTAGGACTGAAATTTTAAAGTTCAAAATCCTTATATGGTTTGATTACCATGTTTTCCCATTTGAAATTGTGTTTGAAGTCTAGACTTCATCCTACAGTAGTACCCATTCAACATTTTCCACTTTCCTTGATTGGCCCTTGGCTGGTCCCCTGTAATTCCTTTTTAAAACATCAATTTTTGTACTAAAATATTATTTCTGTCATGATTTGTGGACATTTAAATCTAAAGAGAAGCATAATCTTCTGGTCAGACCCTGTAATTCAGTGAAAGGGTGGAGTCAGAGTAAAAAAAAAATATACAAGAGGGGGTCACTCCAGTGGCTGGAAGTTGGAGGGGATTTCACTTGGAGTTGGAAGGAAGTAGGCTGCCATTCGGCTGCCATTCGGCTGCCATTCGGCTGCCATTCGGCTGCCATTCGGCTGCCATTCGGATGCCATTCGGATGCCATTCGGATGCCATTCGGATGCCATTCGGCTGCCATTCGGATGCCATTCGGCTGCCATTCGGATGCCATTCGGATGCCATTCGGATGCCATTCGGCTGCCATTCGGATGCCATTCGGCTGCCATTCGGCTGCCATTCGGCTGGGAAGGGCCATTTTGAATGGCTGCACCTGTATGTGGCAATAATGAGCTGAATGATTACTCTTAATCCAAAAGAGAACAAAAAGATTTTTTTTTGTTTCTCTTTAATCAATACTTAATGCACCTGATCCTTCATGCTGTAAACTGTCTGAACCTTTTTGACGATAAGTGTCATCCTCATTCAATTTGAACATTCTGTGGTCAGACAACTCTGGACTGCACACCGCCTGCTTCCGATGCACCTCTACACAAACTTTTAAAGGTTATTACATTTTTATCCCTCAGGAATCATGGGTGAATAGATAGAGAACCTAATTTAGCCTCATTCTCCTCCCTGAATGTAGAAACATCAGAAGAAGAAACATTACTGACTGAAATTCTAAACACATGGAAGGTTCCCCCTGAAGCAGATTTTGGGTCCATCGACTCTGAAATGCTGGAAATATGGTGGTAACATTAGTTTGTTGATGTCTGTGCAAAAAAACAGTTGCCATCTGTTGAAATAGTAACAATAGTTTTATCGTGTGCAAACACATATTGTTATAATTTTGCACTCAGATTTATAGATTTAGAAAGAAGAGGTTGTTTTTTATATCTATGATGATTAAAAGTAAAATAGCTTTTGCTTTTATGGGGGAAATAACAGATTTTTTTTTTGCTTATGTTAATTTGTTTGTTGTTTCATTGCTATTCCTTTATTGTTTTTTAGAATTAGAACGTCTCAGGTTTCATTATTTAAATTTTATTAGTTATTTATTTGCCCTTTGTTTTGAAGGGGGGGGATGCATTTATCTATAGTGGTTCACTGCTTCATTTTCTTATTTGTAGTTCATTTATTCATTTTGTGTTTCTTTTTGGGTGATTAGTTTGTTTTCATGTTTGCTTTTTTTTCATGAGTTAGTTTTCTAATGAGGATTGGGGTCTTTTGGCTTTTTTGTTGTGATTTTATTTGTACAAAGCATTTTCTAATCATGGTGCATGGTATTCTGGTTTTCTGGCCTGGGGTCTCTCTGCATGGAGTTTGCATCTTATCTTTGTGTATCTGTAGATTTTATCTGGATGCTATTGCTTCCTTTAAGTTAGAAAACATGAGTGTGTGGGAATTTCTCTCTTTCTAATTTGCCTTTAAGCATGAGTGTCTTACCCTGTGTTGTCCTTTGTTGGACTTGGAGTTCGGACCTATCCATGGATGGATGGATGGATGGATGGATGGATGGATGGATGGATGGATGGATGGATCGATCGACGGATGGACGGACTGATGAAAGTTGATTCTCTCTGTTTCCATTTCTTATGTTGTGCTTCTTTAACTAATTACCAGAATTCTCACTTTTCTAAAGTGACTTACAAAACTGAAAGGATGAGTCAACTTTAATTGAGTCATCTTTTCAATGTAATTGTTAGTTTTAATGAATTCATGGTTAAAAATTGTTTTGGTTGTTATGGCTCATTAATTTATTTATATATCTATTTTTTCCCATTTAGAAAGAAAAAGTAATGGTGAGATCTTTACTCTGTAAAGAGTAAAAAAAAACAAAGCTTTTTTTTTTTTTATTCTCAAAGCACAGGGGTAATTTACTGTATGGAGAAGGAGAGAAAGTTGCTTTCTGACTCAACTTGTTGCATAAATTAGTGTTTGGGATATAAAGCAGTGAGTGTGCAGAGGACCTGAAACTGTGATTCAGTCACTGATGCTGCTGAAACTGCTGCTGCTGCCATTCCTCCTGCTTCTAGAGACGGTTCTGATCAAAGTGAGCAAGAGGCTTTTATAACCGCAAATCATTAGAATGAAAATAAAGAGTTAGAATCATTTTTCTTTTTTACTTTTTTTTTTTTTTAAGGGTTTTGGTCAGAGTGGCTCCTAAAGCAGAGAAACAAAAAGTGTGACTCACACAGAAACAGGAACTAATAGAGGTTCAGTTTAATTTAAACCCAGCTTACTACCAAGATTTTTTTGTTGCTGCAAGGCGGCGGCTTAAATATATATCTGTCCAGATTTGGACAGTTATATACCTTATTCACCCAGCATGTTTCTGAGGCAGGATATGAATACACACAGACTGTGCAATAAACATAGCTTTCAGCCATTGTACAGTTCATTGACAAGAGAATTCATTGGCTGAAACCAAAGAGAGGAAACACTCAGCTTCCTTGTTCCTCTTGTCCTTACAACCATACATGGCAGGAACTTCATTCACAAATTTGAACTGTTAACCCGCAGCAAGAAACCAGCGTTACATTCTGATGCAGCGATGCAGAAACACATGCATGTTGCACTTTCTTTTTCACTTACTAAAATGGTGCCCATGCATTTTGCTCTTTAAATGTTCATTTAACCTCTTACACCCTAAGGGGGTATAAATAAATTTCTGCCTGACAAAAACACACAAAAGTAAATAACTTATAGCCTCAAAGCTATTAGATTTAAGAAGAAACTTTTGGTACGTCTGTAAAGGTAAGATGTCATAGAATGGTTTTCTGGTGTCAGCACAATTGTAGCTTTGACCCTGCCTGAAATATTAGGGACGAAATACAAAATATTTTGCATTTTTTGAACCTTTCCAAAATTTTCTTTGAAATAAACATTGCAAAACACTACCAAAATATTATTTATAGCACAAAAAAGTAGTACGGACTTTCAAATCTAAATGTTGTGTAAAAATATACCAAATTTGGACTCAATCAGATGAATCATATTTATTTTAGAATGGTATTAGTGAGAAATTTCTTAGGCGGAGAGGCCATTTTGGCACATTTATCCATAAATGTCACCAAACTGTGCCAAATATGTTTTTTACATCAATACTGGGGGTTTGGTAAAATTACGAGGTCACGTAGCAGCTGGACCCGCCGGTGGGTCCGTAGGGTTCAAGGGGTTAAAGATTCTGTGACCAACATTTCTGCATTTCATGCATTTAATTGAAGTCTCATCCTTTAATGGTTTTGAGGTGGCGCCAAAGATCAGGTTTCCAGCTATATTTTATTGGTTATAGTATCAGTAATGCATCTTGCTTTGAGTATTTTTACTACTAAACGTCTGTGACGGTGTGTTAGGGTAAAATAGAAAGGCCCATTAAGCCTCCAAAGTGTCTCCATCAGCAAATCTTCAATTAAAATAACTGCTCAGGCTGTCGGCTATTTAATCCCTTTATGTAAAGGATCTGCTTCACTACGCTCATGTGCACAGTCGTGTGCGTGCATGTGCACGTGTCTTTTATTTTTGTCTGCAGTAACATTTCATCTCACCATGACCTGTGAGAGTACATTACTTCCTATGTCATCCATGTTTTGTTTTTTTCATTTTGCAGTTTGAAATCTGTGAGCTGTCATAACCTCATCAAACAGAGAAAGTGCAGATTAGAAAGAGTCCTGACTTGTTGCAGGTGAGCAGTTACCTCTTTTTTCCCAGGACACTTGTGCAATAGTGCACTAAAAAGCATGCCCCTCCAACGCTCGTGCAGGCAGCTACTTGCTACAGCTAAACTGATTTTTCTACCGTATCCTGGGAAAGCATTTTTCAGGAATCCTGCTCCAGCCTTTTAACGCAAGTCTCCATCCACGTGTACTTTTATTAGAAAAACAAATGTAGGATAGAATGGAAATCTTTAAAGCTCAAGGTGTGATCTAAGTAGCAGGGCTTAATTAGAGAGTGTCTGATGACACAACTGAAAATGATCTTCATGTTTAGAGCAAATATACACCTAGTGGAGTTGTATTGAAACACACAGTCAATCCTCCCTGTTCATTCATGGAAACTGAAATATAGTGTGACACTCCCATTTCTACCAAACCTCTCCATTTTCTGCTTTAATGTTAAATTACGAAGGAGTGAGAAAAAAAATTTCATCTGCAACCATAATCACAGTCATGTTACCTCAACCTCTAAGTTAGGTTGTTTGTATCAGCTTTCAGAACTGTTTACATTTTAATGCTTAAGGTTTCAGAAACATATCTTAGACTTTTTGGTCCATGGTGACATAATAGCAGCATATTTGGCAGCTTTTGCGTCCATGTAAATCTCCTGTAGTGCTTTAACCCCTTGAACCCTACGGACCCGCCGGCGGGTCCAGCTGCTACATGACCTCGTAACTTTACCAAACCCCCAGTATTGATGTAAAAAACATATTTGGCACAGTTTGGTGACATTTATGGATAAATGTGCCAAACTGGCCCCTCCGCCTAAGAAATTTCTCACTAATACCATTCTAAAATAATCCACATTTTGTATATTTTTACGCAACATTTAGATTTAAAAGTCTGTACTACTTTTTTGTGCTATACATAATATTTTGGTAGTGTTTTGCAATGTTTATTTCAAAGAAAATTTTGGCGAGGTTCAAAAAATGCAAAATATTTTGTATTTTGTCCCTAATATTTCAGGCAGGGTCAAAGCTACAATGGTGCTGACACCAGAAAACCATCCTATGACATCTTACCTTTACAGACGTACCAAAAGTTTCTTCTTAAATCTAATAGCTTTGAGGCTATAAGTTATTTACTTTTGTGTGTTTTTGTCAGGCAGAAATTTATTTATACCCCCTTAGGGTGTCAGAGGTTAACTATAAGGTTTTCTGTTGGATTTACTGTTAGTTACTGTTGAGCCCACTGGAATGAAGTAAACTCCCCTATTATCCTGTTGGAAGTATTCAATAAGAAGTGGGTACAATTCAATAGTTAAAGGTGGACTTGGTCAACAACGCTCTCAGGTCTGCTGTGGCATTTATACAATGTTTAAATGGTACTACGGGGTCTAAAGTACGCCATATGCCTCTACAACACCACTAGCATAAACTACTAGGTAAGATCTAACAATTTTTTTTTTCAGTTTATGCTTCTTCATCTGCTCTATGTGGTTAAGCTGTTGTGATTTGTCTGAACAACAGGATTTTTTAGCATAAATGGCTTTTTTCAAGTAATACTACAACAGAGTGTGGGCTTTGACTAGGTCTCTGTAGAAAGTTCAATCAAGTATTTATTTTAGTCTTAAAAAAAGACGAAAGCAGGTGGGATTTGGATGAATGAACTCCTGCATAGCTGAAATGTGCTTTTTATTTTAAGGTCCCAACCCAATGGCTGGACTTTCCCCAGCAGGATTTTCTGATAAACAGCAGAATTCATGCTTAATTTACAAACAGCAGGTGAAAGCATTGTGTTATAACCTTGTCAACTAAGTTTATGATGAAAGACAGAAACAAGAAATAAAAACTTTACTTTTATTTTGTATGGGCCTTTTCTTTTATTTCTGTTCTGCACTGCTTTTGTCTTTGTAACCATCTCATCAATGCCATTTTTCCTCATCCTCTTTCATATTGTTGACTCATAATAACTGCTCCTGACTTCTGAAGTTCCGCTGTGCATTAGATATTTCTCTTTATACCTATTGACCGTTGGGGTTAGTAGTTGTAGTAATTAATGCTGCGTTCACACCGGGGGCAGCTGGCGCGACAGAAGCAGCGAGTTTACATGCAAAGTCAATGGTTGACGCGCGTCAAGGCGCAGCAAAAGGTCCCGCGGCGCGTTTCGAGCAGCAAGCGCAGCGCGTCTGAGCAGCTGAAGCAGCGCGTCGGGCGCGTTTTGGCATCTGACGCGCGTGACGCGCCGCAAACGCGTTGCTGCTCGAGATGGAAAAATTGAATTTTTGCTGCTCGACGCGCCGCGTCAACCAATCAGAGAAGCTGATCTGGGAGCTGGCTGGGAGAGAGACACAGCGCTGATGACACAGACCGCTCTGATTACTCCTCTTAAACAGTTTATTAACGCATAATTAACTTAAAATATATACATCTGCCGGCAGAATATGTTCGCTTTTATTATTGTGGTGCCTGCAGATCGGATTATTTAGATGAAAAACACCTACCAGCCGCCGCGGTAAACCGCGAGGAGGCGACCCGCCAGAGGCTGCTGATGAATGGATTCCTTCTGTCGGCGCACCGCCGGTATGTGGGGGTCTGAGCGGCTCCGACAGAAATAATATTGGGAGGCAGGATTGTAATCTGGATGAACTGACTGCACTGATGAAGTTTTCAGGTGTATTTTCTCACTTAAAAACATATTAAAACTACTTTATTCCCACTGATCACAGCAAATATAGCTGCAAGGCAGAGAAAGGATAGTGAAGCTCCGCCCAACGCGCGTCAGAGCCACTTTTGGACCGCGCAGGCAGAGCAGCAAAGTTGCTTCAGCCGCGCGTCAGAACTTACTGGTACAAGCAGCAAAAATGAAGCAGCAGACGCGATTTTGCTGCTTTTGCTGCCCCCGGTGTGAACGCAGCATAAGATATGCAGATAATTTATTGCAAGATTTACTATTGTTCCATTATTCCTAATTTGTTGACTTGTTTTTGTTTAGACACAAAACCTTAGAAAACAATTTCAAGGCATTGTTTCTCCTTTGTTCCTTTTTTTATTAGGGTACGGTGAGTTACATTTTCAGAGATTTTAACCAACTTAAAAGCTAATAATAATGTCATTAAACCTACAACAAATACTTTTTACTTGAAGGATGTCCATTCTTTTTGGTGCTTTACTTTGCCTTTAAGTCAAGAATTGGCCAAATAATACTTTGATTTAAGTTTTAGGTCCAAATGGTCATTCCTTTGGTCATTCAGGCAAGTCAATTTATGACTTCTTGTAATCTAAGCAGCTGTCAACATGTCACAAAATCCCTGCTTATTTTCATAGATTCTCCAGCAAGCAATAGTCACTTTTCATTGTCCGGGGGAATCATTTATGCATCCAGCTCTTTTGTAAGAATTTTCACCTGCTTGTCTTTCATGTCTCAGCAGATATAAGGTCATTTCCCTTTTTTCACCCAGCGGTTGTAGCAGTAGCAGGACCCAGTAAGGCATTTTTCATTCTGGTGAAATAAAACCAAGAGGCCGTTAATGACTGTGGAAAATGTACAGCCATTTAGGTATTGACATTTTTCAGTTTTACTTAATCTATTCTGTTCAGCATCTTCACTCTGAGTCATTGTTGGGGGAAGTTGTGAAGTCTTTATGCATATCTTTTTGTTGTGAAAGGTAGTGCTGCTTTTATAAGGTGCCATTTAGATTCAGAGTGTGTGTGCCTGGGGTTTACCCTGATATACAGAGCAGACTGTTACTTCTGCTATAAAAAGAGGGGAGGGATTATGCTTTATTTTAAACCATGTAATTCTTTTTCTGTTGTACTTTAGAGGAAACTTCTTTACACTTCTGAAAAGTCTTTATTTGAATTATGCAGCGCTATAATGATGCTATTCTTTCAATGCTCAGAAGGGGGGAGAGCTGATTGAAGAGGATGTGTGCACTGAAAAGTGGTTACTCTACTTCCATGTTAACAGAGGGGAGTGAATTTCCTTCGCGTTTACACAGATGCCGACATTCAGAGAGGACCATGAGAAAGACGAATAGTAGGGAGATCAGGTTGCAGGAAGGGCATGATTTTTCTTCTCCCCAATTTCTCTGTTTATAGCTCAGCTCAATGCTGATCCGTTGTCTTACGTGGGTTTGTCTCATGGGTGCCCTCCTGGGGTCTTCTTCCTGGGAATGGGTCATTTGGGGAAAGTATGTGAATGCCAGGTCAAGCAAACTAACATCTGAGTTGCTTTTGCTGACATCACACACACACCTCATGGAGTGTAAAAACAGAAAGACGAGACACACGCCTATCATACCTCATGTCCCTCGCTGAAAGTCACAGACAAGCCACATGGTTTAACATTTAAATTGCACAACAGTATAGGAAATTGCTTCACAGGATTTTCAGAAGAAAGTAATGCTGCTTATGCTCATTTTGATGCGGTAAACCACTACTCTGCAGCTTGAACGCATATTGTATCTCGTGTAAATGCTTCATACCTGAGCCTTTTAATTTTACATCAGTCCTTGCTATGTTTGTCTCACTGACACTTCTAGGAACAGTGCTTGTCTTGTCTTCAAAGAATCAGGAGCATATTCTTTGCAGTTTGGACTTAAAATAACCCAGCAGTTTCCCTTTTGCTTCAACTGCACATTTGATAGAATCACTCTAACTCTTCAGTGTTCTACATTAGCTAATTAACAATGAAGCAAAGCATTGGATATACATATATTCTGAAAATATCTTTTTACTTTAATATTCTCTTAATAAAATCCAGAGCAGCCAGTTGCTTTCAGAAGTCACCAATTTAGTAATTAGAGTCCAGCTGTTTGTAGGGTATCCTAGTTATAAATCCAGCTCTAGACAAGCTGCAGGTATCCAGAGTTCACGTTGGAGCAACTGCAGAGCACAAGTCTGGTCTTAATGAAAGAAAGGCAAGAGAAACTGCAAAAAAAAAAACCTAAAAGAAATCCAATTTGCAATAGTTAATTTAATATGCACACAAACATTTGGAAGAGATAATGGTCTCTGGATGCTTTATG